GAAAAAAACCCCTGATGTTAGTGATCGATAAAGTGTTGAGTCTAGTTGACCTTTCCCACAACATGGTTTCTTCATAATCTTTGCTTTAAAACTAAAACTTAAAATTCCATGTTAAGAAAGTTTGAATTCTGTAGCCTATGCAAACTGCCTTATAAAGCTAGTAGATAGTATATGTTATGCTTTGTTTGCATGATTTATTATGGTTGTATTGAACATTAACACTGCCTCAAGTCTGGATCAGTGAGACAGAAGAAGCCAAGCACACTATATTGTACAATCATAAATAGCATCTCTGGGGACAGTAAGACCACACCTATAAAATAATGTTGAATTCATATCCAACATTTTACCCTGGAAAGGATCTGTATGTTGCTAAGAGTTGACACTGATTTGATGGCAAACTTCAAGTCATCTTGTGAAAAAAGGAAGTATTTGCAAACTGTATACATGCTCAGTGAGTGTTCATTGGGAATTTTCCAACGTATATGTTCCCCAAGACATGTAAGATACATTCTCCTAGTGAATAATGAGCCTCTGAGAATTAGATCTGAACCTTTGGAATCAGCCCTTTTCCTATAATTGAGCTCCATTAATGTGGAAGCTTTGTCCTGTTCTTGTCCAGGCTTCAGTACTGTAACTTGGGAATAAGAACATGACAACCTATTGAGCTTGGTTTCTATAGAAACCTACGTAGTAACTTTTAATAAAGATAGTTTACATTTAAAAAAGAAGAAAAGGTTGAAAAGAATATAGGGTGGAGAGAGGGCATGCTACATGGTGTAAAAAAAGAGACTTTTTCTTTTTCTTCCATAATAGGATGTCATTAAAATGGTGGTAGTAATTTGGACAGTCTTTTAAAAGGGATTAAAGAAATCCATAAAGGATAAAATAGTTGGACGCTATTAACTGTTGTGGCTATATGCCTCTTCATATGTGTTACTGTAATATTACAGTTTATTACACATCTTCATTGGACTTTCTATAGCAGTGATGGTGAATCTTTTTGGCACTCGGTGCCGAAAAGGGAGCATGCGTCTGCGCACTCATTGGGGCCCCAACCTGGAAGAGGTGCTGCCCAGGGGGCATGGACGTACCGGAAAATGAGCTTCCAGTTTCCGGCACATGCATGCGCGCCAGCCAGCTAATCTTCCAGTTACTGGTGCGCATGCGACGATCAGCTGGATGGCGCGTATGCTCATGATAGAAAATGGAAGACCAGCTCTTCCAGTTTCCGGCACTGCCGCACGGATGTAGGCTAGCTGATTGTTGCATGCACATGCACACTGGAAACCCGTAAGTGGAACAGGCAACGCCTTGTGTGCCAGGTGACATGGCTCTGTGTGCCACTTTGGGCATGCATAGCATAGGTTCACCACCATGGTCCTATCTGTTTAGCTATTATAAAGAGGAAGTGCTACCCTAGGCCTATATTTTAATCCAGCAGGAGTCATCACTGTTTCAAAGACACAAAACAAACACAAAAATAACAACAAAATCCCCACTTCTGAAACCTGAAAGGTTTCACAAAACAAGTCAGGAAACAAAATAAAAACACAATGCATAGACAAGACAACCCAGGTTTAAAACTTACTCTCTTCTTTTGTATGGTCCTTTAAAATAATTTATTAGATGAGTTAATTTAAAATTCAGTGTGTTCTGATTAATTAGTAGAAGGAAAAAGATACAGAAATCACTCTGTGTATGATACATTGTCAAGACTTTAAAATTGTTTTATATTAACTTTCAGGGTCACTGAGTATTCGTTCGGCTGTCAGTATACATTAAAAGATACTGACTCATGGAACTCTAAATAACGCCAGAATTAAACTTTTTAAAAAGTACTACTTAAAAAGACAATCAGTTCATGAAATTATATACTTAGCTTCATAAATGCTTCTGTTTGCCACAGAGTAACCAAAATATTTTTTTGTTTTATAAAAGGGCCAATTTGCTATAGTAGTTAAGGCATCAAGATAGAAACTGGAAGACTCTGAGTTCTAGTCCCACCTTGGGCATGAAGCCTGTTGGGTGGCCTTGGGCCAGCCAGTCTGTCTCAACCCTAGGAAGGAGGCAATGGCAAACCACTCATGAAAAACCTTGCCAAGAAAACTGCAGGGGCAAGTACAGGCAGCCTCTGAGAATTGGGCCAATACAATGGAAGAAGACGAAAAAAATCCTAACATTTCAAGACAATATGTCTTTTGAAAAGCTTTCTAAAGAGCATTTCTTTGGAAACCTTATGAAAATATGTTATAAAACACACCACAGTCTATCATGTATCATGCATTTGTCTGCCACATACTGTGGATGCTCTTCCATTCATGTGTTATTTAAAAAAAAAAGATGGTGAAATTTTCATCCACGATACTTGGTGTTTTCATCAATAGCATTAGCTAGAGCAAAACTTTGGAAACAAAAAAGGCTTATTTTTTTAAATTTAATTTTACTTTACTTTACTTTATTTTATTTTATTATTTTATTATTTTTTCATTCACCTTTTGGTAGTTTAAGCTGGGCAGAGCACTGTGTCCATTAATGTCTTTGTTGTTTCCTTTTACTTTTAGTTATTATATGTAAACAGCAGTGGTGGGTTCTGGATCCTGTTGCAACCGGTATGGTTGCAACGAGGCCCGGCGTCCTTCACATGAATGCGTGCAGCATGTGTGTGGCGCGCGCATGCGTCGTACCGTCCAGCAATGCTTTGCAAGCCTCTGCGATGCTCCAGCTGCTTGGCGGAGCATTGCATAGGCGCTGTGCCATGTGCGGAAGCGCCAAAAGCTTTAAAGGATAGGTAAGGAGCTTGGGTGGGCCCTGCAGAGCACCATACCGGAACGGTACCTGGTGCTCTGGGCAGGCTCCGGTACGCCCGTACCAGGGTGTACCACCTGCAACTCACCACTGGTAAACAGGTAAAAAATTGTAGTTTACATCTTCTTTTAAAAAAAAAAATTCATTGCCTTCTAGTATAATATTTCATGGGAGACTTGAGATCCATCCCCCTTTTTGTTTCATACAGTGTTTCCCGAAAATAAGACAGGGTCTTATTTTCTTTTGACTCCCCCCCAAATAAGCGCTTGGCCTTATTTTCGGAGTGGTCTTATTATTTTTAAGGTGCAGGAGGCGGTGAGCATGGTCACCTCATGGCTGCTGCTGTGTTGCAGGATTTTTAGAGAGGGCTTATTTTAGCACATGCACTTAAAAGCCCGATTGGGCTTATTATCCTGGGAGGTCTTATTTTCAGTTACCTAGAAAGATAGTTACCTAGAAAGTGCAGCATTTGGCTAAGGCTGTGCAAAATTGGCAGCAAGTCTCTGAAACTGAGTCCCGTGTTTGCAATTCAATCATTGCAAAATGAGGCATCTCACTTGCAGTCAGAAAGCTGCAGCTCTTCGTTCTGCTATCTATAGAAGAGTTTTGCTAGAACACATTCCTCTTTGGACAAGACTGGGCCAAGCTACCTGTATGGAATCAAACATAGGAACCAAAGTAAATAATCAAGACTCAGTGAGGTGTTTATTAAGCAGCATATGCTGGTAGGATTCCTTCAGAAGAATATTGCGAGATACCCCACTCAATAAAGTGATGCACTCATATTTATACTTTTTAGAAAGGTGGGAGAATCCAATGCATAAGCAACAGAAGTAAGGTACTTAATCATAGGTGAAGGATCTCAAGTTTAGTATATGTAATTCTAATCTATACTATACTTCCTTGTTGGAAACACCAAAGCCCTTCTATAGTGAAAGCATTGGTGGTATTCAGCTGGTTCGCACTGGTTCGGGCAAACTGGTTATTAAATTACACACAAGACCCACTATCAAAATGGATCCTGAGCGCTGCACTGCGCTGCAATCGAGAAACAGGCAACAGAGTGGCTGATGGGAAGGAAGGAGAAGGCCGCTTTCCCTCTTCCTTCTCCCTGCTCCTCCTCCTTCCCTTGTGCCGGGTGCTCCGTTGCCCGTTTCTCCATTGCAGCGCAGGGCAGCACCCAGAATCCACTTTGATAGCGTTTGTGTATGTGTGTGTGTGTGTTGTTTAACAACCGGTTCGCCCAGGGTCAGGTGGGGCCACGCCTCCAACGACAGCCAACCTGACCCTGGGCAAACTGGTTGTTACATTATTTGAATCCTCCCACTGGGTGAAAGGATTGGCCAGTGACATCACCCTTGCCTGGGAGACCCCCACTATAGGTAATGAAGCTCAGGTTACTTCCTGCACAGTTTTTCCTTCAGAAACCAGAAGGTAGAAATTAAACAATAAAACAGGGAGGAAAACATCTCCCATAAATCAAGAGGAGAGGGTGCTTGGGAATACTAGGCATCAAAAGAAAAACACTTCCTATTGCAAATCTATGGGCTAGTAAGATGACAGAGTGTGGCCTTGTATCTATATATTAACTGGATTTAACAGATTCCCCTTATCCCCATACCTGGAACAACTTTTGAATGCCTAAATTTACCTGTCATGACTTTGTCTTAAACTGTCATTGTCATTACTTGCAGTCTGCATTATCCCTGATCATCCTCCATCTAATGCAGATTATAAGAATAAAGACAAGCTGTGGACTTTATGTAAGGCAGCAACTCCCACTGATGAAAAGCAAGGTGCCTTAATAAAAATGAAATGAGATTTGGTTTTTATTAGGGCTGTGCAAACATCTCCAGTGGAGCTTCACAGAGTTCACTGGTTGAAGCACACTCCTTTGAGCTTGGAAGCAATTGCAACTTCCTGAAGATTCAGTATGGATGCTGTAGGAGTTTTCACATGTTGTCTTTGTATGTAAGTGCACATGCAAGCTACCTCATGGCAATCCCAGAATTGTCTTGAGTACTTTGAGGTTGAGCACATAGCACCACTGCACTGTGCATTTGCCCTTTGCCAAACACCACAGTCCATTGTTGTTAGATTTAGATAATGGTAATGAGTTTCTAGAAGTCATCAAATAAATTTTATAATCCAAGTTTAGCTTTCCAGCTCTCCTGATCTATCTTTTGCTTTAGTTTTCAGGCAAAACCGATAGAGATTATTACACTCTGGATGACATGTTCGTTTCCAACGCAGCAAAGAGGGAGGAAAGTGGAAAAGCGGAGGAAAGGGAGAGGCACCAAGCGATCCGTGAGCATCAACGGCTTGCTGCATGCATGGAAAAATGCCCCCATTGTTTTGGTAGCTCTGAACTTCCTAAACACCTAATCATTGCAATTGGCAACAAGGTAAGGAAGAGCATCAGTTATTCTGACATAGAAATGGACGACTTAAAAGAAGGCTGTTCTCTGCGCATGATATTATGAAATTTAAATTAAGATTGCTTCTTATGACATGAATGATTGCTTTTGAATAACCCTGGCTCTTCAATTAAAGATGAAAAAGCCACTTCAAGGGTGCAGCAAATATGAGTGTGACTCTTGTCTTGAATGATAAACTTAATCTTCAGTACTTCAGATTTGTTGATGACCTTGCTGCAATGATACACAAGATCTGAATATTTAGGTGGCACAAGCAGAGTAAATAATTAGGAGGCCAAAGCAGAGTTGAGTTGTAAGACGAGGAGAGTCATAGAGGAAAGGTGAAATTATAATTGGTAGAAGAAAACAAAGGCACAAAGACAAGGAAAGTCATGCGGATATTAAAAAAACAACAGATACAGGGTCTCCTCCTTATAAAACGAATTTGGAATTAGTTTCAAAGAGCTGAAAGAAACCATTTTAAGGCATCACATTCAATCTCCTGTTCTTTGCAGAAATCCAGCATCCTTGACAAATGACGTTCAGCCTGTGCTTGAATATATTCAATGAAAGGATTCTAGTCCAAATTAGATGATATGGCAATCTTTCTTTCTCTCTGTATGTGTATTTTTTTCAGACTATATATAGAAATAAAAGAACCTTACGGCTGAGAAATAATGCTTCCTGTTTTGCCACTTTTTCTCATTCAGGAATCTGTCCCCTATGGATCCTGTCCTATATGGATATATAAAATTGCAGAAACTGTTTAGCAGATTTCCCACTCCTGGAACTTTTAGTTCTTTTAAAATGAGAGTCTCTCTAAGCAAGTTTTATATCAGGTCTAGTTTGGCTAGAATGAATCATGGAAATCATAAGGTCGATGTGCACCAACTGGCTGCTCAAACGTTGCATTTTCTTTTCTAGGTGTACTTATCCTTGCCAAAGTACCAGTCTCTTACTGAAGGTCATTGCCTGATCGCTCCTATGCAGCATTACACTGCTGCCACAGTTCTAGATGAAGACATTTGGGAAGAAATTCAGGTGAGCACAGCTTCTAGTTTGATCAGGCTTTTTATGATGTGGGTTTTGTGTGCTGTAGGTATAGCATGGTAGCAAGCTTGGCTTTGGTATGTACTTTATACCAGGGGTCCCCAACCCCCGGACTGTGGCCCAATGCTGGGGCGCAGCCTCTTTGGAACCGGGCTGCAGATCTGGTGGTTGAGTGTGCTGGAAACTGCATTTGTGAAAGTGATGTGCACACGAAACCATCCCCATCATCCCGCTGGTCCACCGAGCCAGAAAGGTTGGGGACCGCCGCTTTACGCAGCAGCTGACCTGCCCTTTCTTCTGAATATCTATGGATGACCAGTATTGTAGTTCATATTCTGTGGAATTGTTGAATTCGTCCTTTGAATTACGAAAGTTTGACAAGAAAATGTAAATGTATATTGTTAGGATTAAGAGTTTGTAGCCCACTAGATAAGGACTGCAAGTTCAGACATTTCCTGAGAGCTGTGTATGAAGTGTTCTTATCAGTGGTGGGGTGCAATCAGTTTAACAACCGGTTCGGTGTGCGCATGAGCGCCTAACACACTTGTGTGCAGCGTTCAAAAACAGCAATTTGAAGCTCAGCTGCTTACCTTCTAAGGTTGTCCTGGTAAGTACAACAAATAAGCTGTGCCACGCAAATTAGCTGAGCCAGAAAGAAGGGAATATAGGACAGGGCAGGGCAGGTGCGGGTGGGTGGGACCAACTGATCGTTCTCATTATCGGTTCGCCCGAACCAGTCCGAACCAGCTGAATACCACCTCTGGTCCTTATCTCTTCTAGAAGAAGAGAAAAAAAAACCCACAGTAAATAAAAGATAAATATAATCTGTAAAATATGTATTATATCTTTTTTCCTTCAAAGAGATATGTACTTACCAAAATGCTTATGATAAAAAAAGTATTTTGCTGGAGCTTTCCAAACCTCTGGGAAGACCAGTTATCTCAAAAGAAATTACAATGCATTTGGACGATCTCACTGTTACTGAAATAAAAATATTTCAAAACTGAAATCTCTTAGTTAAAGGCCTTGGCAAAACAAGCCACAATGATAACCTTGCTAATGATGATTTGTAACTGTTGCAGTTGCCAAGTTAGATACTCATGTTTATTGAACTTAAAAAAAATAGACAGTTTATCTTTGGAGATAATGTTTATTTGGGATGATTAATGGTGTTTACTAGAGATTATTTAAGCCCTTAAAAGCCTTCAAAAATTCCCCACATTTCTCAGAAAGAGGAAACCAATTCAGTGAAAAGCTAAATATAAATCTTCAAAAATGATAGTAACCCCTCAAATATATACAGGTGAAACTCAAAAAATTAGAATATCATGCAAAAGTTCATTTATTTCAGTAATGCAACTTAAAAGGT